TTGCGTATCAGTACACCCCATTGAGCCTCCGCGATTCCCATTTCCCGAAATTCCCGCTCCGCCAGGGTCAAGAAGGTCCGCATATCTGGTCCCGCTTCGGTTGCTGCCATTCTTGACTGCAGTATGAGATCTGCCCCTTTCTTCGTTTCGCCTGTACTTCCCTTCTGGTCGCACCGCATTTGTTGGAAAAATCGTGCCATTTCCAACTTCCAGGCCGTGGTCGGGTCAACAGTGTTTGGCGAGGGCTCGTCCTGGCCGAGAGTGTCTTCACCCGCTTCGGGGGACGCCTCATCCTTGTCCAACGTACGGAGGTCTGTTTCCTGCTCCGGAGCGGCCGTTATTGTGTCAGTCCCTCTGCCCGGTGTTGTCTGGGTCTCTGTCAGGTTGCAAGTCTTCCCCTTGGGAGGAGGCAACCTTCGTGTCTTATGCCTACGGAGTTCCGAAAGTGTCATCTCGGGAGTTTGAGGCTCGTTTTCTTGCGTATCCAGCATTACCTTCGGTCGTCCGGTAGCAAATCAGTCCGCCAACGATTTATTTCAACCGCTCGCCGCCTGGTGGACTGACACTTCCCTGGGTTCGGACTTGGGAGGAAAAGGAATTTTTTTCGCGTTCGGAAAGGAGTTTCCGTTAAGATTTGGGATGGAAATCTGCCTTTCCGTAATTCCCGGAACAGCCCCCAATTGTAATGACCTCGGCGGTCAAATACTCTTAACCCCAAGCAGGTTCGGCGACTCAATACAGAAAGTATACTTTGTCCGGAAACGTTAAGTCAAAACTCGGTTCGAGTCCAACGTATTTCAACGTTTTTCGTGATCAAAGAACTGGGACCCCCCTTCCGGACGCGCCCCTGGCCTCTGCAGGCGTCGCGGGGCGCCATCCTCTGGGTGTGGCCGACTCGCCCGCACTGTGTCGGCCTCTGTTCCTGTCTGATATCGGCTACGCTCCTTGTGTGCCTAATATACTATGTAAGTTAGACTCAATTAACTCCCTTTGATAGTTTCCGGTGTACTTAGCTCGTTCTCGCTCCTTACTCCCCATAATTACCTATCGTTATTGATTGCAGCTACTTGTAGTGCTAGCGCACTACATCAGCAGATAGAAAATGCCGAAGGGCAGATAAAGAAAGTTGCAGGAGGAAACAACCACATCAGAGCAAACTCGCTTCATAAAACCCACGATGCTGAGGAGGAATTGGCGGCCGTTGTTTAGCGGTCCGAAATATTGAAGGAGAACAAAATGAACACGCGATATTTTCGATGCAGCGCATGTAGAACAATTTGCAGCACGTGTTTGCGCCCGGGCCATCTGCGTTATTCCTTATCGTCGGCTCTTTGTCGATCTGTTCGCAACATATTATGAACTCGTGCACGCCGTTACAACTTGTACATCCATGTACGCTGTGTGCAGCAACATACGAGTTACAGGAAGATATCTTGCAATAGGGCCCTTCCCTTTCCAGCAAAATGCATCAATCGAAGTGACTTATCCATAAATATATCTCAACATTTTTCTTTATGCTGACAATATGCACACTTCAGTAGGTGGATGTCTCGCCTTGGACCATCGTCCTCACGTGCATCCTCAGCGGTCTCTGGCGGGAGCAGGCTACATAAAAAAAGCAAAGCTAGCAACGCCGCTAAATCAGAACGCTTCCCCTTGTATCTTCATTTTATATTGATCTCAAAGCGTTCCCTGATGTATTTCACTATCCTTTATTTTAGTTTTTGTTTACAGCTTCTGGTTCGTTTGGCCGCTTTCTAGTTGAGGCCGTGCACGGGCTTGCGTCTCCCGTTGAGTGACCGGACCAGCCGGCAGAGTTCAGAGTTTTCTGCATTCCTTGCTGCAATTTCTAAATGCTTCTTTTCTTTCATTCTCTAATCTGAATATTTGCTTGATTGTCGTCTTGTTCCAGAAAAAATTCATCTTTCACACTTCACCTGCCGCAATGGTTCCTTTGTACAAGACAGCGCCAGCAGTTTGCCTCGTCGCACTCTATGGGCTCCAATCGGAGGCAATGGAGGAGGTTACGAAAACATATAAATTCAAAGTTGTGGAGGTAGATGAAGGTGATCTAGGTTTCCCTTCTATTCTCGTTTGTCGTGCCCTTCTCCCCTCCTTCTGTTCTCCCCAGCCCTCGACCGCTCAGCTGTGCCGGACACAAGGCCGCTGCACTACACGGTGAATATCTTCGCTCCACGCTTTATTCGTATTTGTGTGTTGCAGATGTATACTTGGCCGCCAACCTGGCCCGTAATGGAAAACTCCCAGTTCACATCAGTGAAGTCACAAAGGACGAAGACCTTCTCGCTGACGTGCGGAAGGGAGTAGTAGATGAGCAAGGAGTACTCCTTCAAGGAACATGCAGTGAAATGAAGATCAAATCCAACCTTGTGAGCTCAACAACTGCAAAGGGGAGGTGTTCGAGTTGTCCCTGCTGGTTCTCGTGTGCCAGCAGCAGCTGTAAATTCAAGTATAAAACCTGACAGAAGATAAGTAGCCGTTTAGTTGAGTATCTGAGACAAACTGAACACGAACAAGTTGCACTGCTGTTTACTTCATATTTGGGGTGTACAGGAAGCGTTTCATCACACTTTCGACTATCAGGAG